GCCAGGGCATGGGCAGCAGAAAGGGCAAGGACTTGTGGAAGGATAGCGCATGTAGTTCTTTCCTCGACCACGGAAGGGAGAAAGAGGTCAGAGGTGGGGAGGGAAAGGAGGAGAGGGGGGGGATTGGGCAGGACTGACAGCTGCAGAGTAGATGGCGCAGCCTGATGACCAACCAGGGCATGGGCAGCAGAAAAGGCAAGGACTTGGGGAAGGATAGCACATGTAGTTCTTTCTCGAGCAGGGAAGGGAGAGAGAGAGGTCAGAGGTGGGGGACATTACCGTATTGCAGAATGCATGTACATATTTGCCTGGTCAGCAATCTCACTTTCACCGTTGGTCCATGGCTGGGTCCAGTGGCTCTGACTATGGGAAGAAGGAGCAACTGAACAGTAGATGGCACAGAAAGGAGATAGACAGAAGGGCTGTGTCGATCGATCTATCTACCTAATCTAATCTAATCTAACCTGATCAAAAAGCCTGCGTGGACCTGCGTAAATGGCCAAATAAAAGCAATTCTCCAGCACATGAAGCCAACCAAGCTGTTGTATCTTCTAAGCCGTTTACTTGAATTTGAAAGCAGAGGCTGGTTGCAATATCCAGTCCAGTACAGAGAAGCTTACTTGGGAAGACGGGAGAAGACGAGAAAAAATACATGGCGCAGCTGTTTTTGGGAACCGGGAAAATGTCTAGTAGATGGCTCTGAGAGTGGTGGTTTTTTAGTCACCGGTTTCATCTACTTTTACCCGCGCACATTTGGAACCCACTTGGCTAAAACGCCATCTATAGCCCTTCTCTCATTGCCATCTACTCTTGAAGTACTGTACATAGAAAACCGCCATTCTTTAGTCTCAAAAAGGTAAACTCACCGAGAAGGGGTCAGGAGCCTCATGTTCTAGTGACCTGTAGGTCACTAGAAATTGAGGATCACAGGTCTTATAGGCATGCTGGCAGGGTCATTTTCTAGACATCACCTTGTTTCCTTGATCCCACCGCGATCCTCATTTTCTAGTGGGGGTGCCTCATTGTCTAGCAAACATGATGAATCATGATGGTTCAAGACAGAGTTTAAGAGAAACATAACCAAAAGAAACAATATAAATTCCAACGTGCAACGCTCCTCTTCTTCCTCTCCTCAGCTTCCTGCCCTCGCATTGCTCCTTGCCTGTTCATCCTCTTCAGGATTGCGGCAAACTTCTGCAAGGAACTGGCTAAAGAACTTCGTTGTGTCAATCTCAGTGTGTGTTGTTGGATGTCCCAACGTCTCCCACTACACCCAAACAAATCCTCAAACACTGCCATACCGAGGGCCATACCCTACCATTCCATGTCTGGCACTCTGGCCAGACATGGAAAGGTATGGTATCCAGCCAGACCAATTCACTAGAAAATGATGAGTTCAACGTCTTTCGGGTGTGTTCCCAATTTTCTAGTGGCTTTGGTGTCTCGACCAGCACCTGGTACACACAAATCCTCAAGCACTGCCATACCCTACCATTCCATTTTGGGCACTCTGGCCAGAAATGGAAAGGTAGAGTATCCAGCCAGACCAATTCACTAGAAAATGAAAGGTTCTAGGTCTTTGGGGTGTGTTCCTCATTTTCTAGTATCCTCATACCCTACCATTTCATTTTTGGCACCCTGGCTAGAAGTGGAAAGATAGGGTATCCAGCGTAGGGAATGGCAGTGTTTGAGGATTTGGGTGTACCAGGTGCTGGTCGAGACACCAAAGCCACTAGTAAATGAGGAACGCACCCTGAAGACCTAGAATCCATCATTTTCTAGTGAATTGTTCTGGCTGGATACTCTACCTTTCCATTTCTGGCCAGAGTGAAAAATGAAATGGTAGGGTATGGCAGTGTTTGAGGATTTGGGTGTACCAGGTTCTGGTCGAGACACCAAAGCCACTAGAAAATGGGACACACACCCTAAAGACGTGGAACCCATCATTTTCTAGTGCATTGGTCAGGCTGGATACCCTACCTTTCCATTTCTGGCCAGAGTGCCAAAAATGGAATGGTAGGGTATCAGCATGTTAGAAAATGAGGAACACATCCCCAAGACCTAGAACCCTTCATTTTCTAGTGATTTGGTCTGGCTGGATACTCAACCTTTCCATTTCTGGTGCAAAAAATGGAATGGTAGGGACTGGCAGTGTTTGAGGATTTGGGTGTACCAGGTGCTGGTCGAGACACCAAAGCCATTAGAACGTGTGGAACACAAGTACCAGGTGCTGGTCGAGACACCAAAGCCACTAGAAAATGAGGAACACACTGTAAAGGCCTAGAATCCATCATTTTCTAGTGAATTGTTCTGGCTGGATGCCCTACCTTTCCATTTCAGGCCAGAGTGCCCAAAATGGAATGGTAGGGTATGGCCGTGTTTGAGGATTTGGGTACTAGAAAATGATGGGTTCTACGTCTTTACAGTGTATGAAGAGCGAAGATATACAAGCTCAGGCTCAGGTCTGATTGGCATCTGACAGACAGCTTTAGTGAAATCATGGCACCACTATGGCACGATTTCCATGGCCCGTCTGGCATAATACAGTATATGTCACTGCCATTCACTGCCCATCCTGATCATCCTCAAAGCAAGGTGGCACCACTAGAAAGCAGGATCCGCCAAAGAATGACGATCACACGTCAAGGCACCAGGGCATTCACTAGAAAATGCCGAGCGCAGGTTCAAAAAGAAGACGCGCCGATCACAGGTCCGAGAGGTGTGATCAAAATTTGGGGTCATTTCCTAGTGATTCACTAGATTATGCTGATCCAGGGTCATGAAGCTGTGTTCCTCATTTTCTAGGGAGCTGACATTCATCATTCCCCAGGAAATCACTAAAGAATGGGGATGTGTGACCCCTCCATGTGATTAACATGGGGGATTATATCATCCTATATTCGTGAGTGAGAGCAAGTACGGTTGCGGATTGTGGCCTGAAAGCAACGTCAACCATGGCAGGCCGGCGTTTGTGAAGCAACAAAATGGATGATAGGAGGGTCTCTTGATCTCCAAATCACTGCTCCGGTGGTCCTTGAAAGCATCTTGGATTGAATCACAGCTCATTGGGTGGAGACGTGTTCAACAGAGCGCTCCAACATCATCGGCACGTCATCGGGACGTGGATCGTGAGTACTCCCTCACCGGTGGTCGATGGATCCGTCCAATGTTGGACACAAAGAGTGACTGGTCGATGGTTCGGTGGTTCTGGGGTTGTGTTGTGTAATTACTGATTTCAATCAGCGCCCTAACCTTCATGATTGACTGGAATCCTGAAAGGGTGGATAGTTCCAGGTGGACCACTGAAAGCAAGCTTGGGACAACCCTGAATGTCACATACCATACGGTTGTGACCGCAGGTGAAGAAGTTTGTGTTTGATGGCACCCAAGACTTTTTGGAGTTGGCCCAGGCCAGTCCAGCAGGGGATTGGGGCACAAAAAGAGGAGGCTGTGTTTGCCATAATTTTTTCATTTCTTCAGGGTCCAAATATTAGATTCCCAAAGGCATAATTATTTGTGGCCCAACCTGATGCACAGGTTTGAGGTTCTCAGCTCATGACCTTTGTTGCTTGTTAGAGGTCTTCGCAAGCAAAACACTCTTGACCACAAATGCCATTCACTCTCAAGTTTCAAAACTTTAGGACAAATACACATGGGGCATGGGGCCAGATTTCATGAAGACAAACCTTCAACATCACCATACAATATCTTGGGTATGTATAGTATGGGTATGTCACAATCGAAACGACAAGAAAACACTGTAATCTACAGGGATCTAAACCCATGGGTTTTGGGTGTGTTCAATCCACCCCTTGGAAGTGTCCAGTACCGGATGCTAACCACTAACAATTCATATGTCATGTTACATTTACATTTACATGATGTCTTTGTTCATAAATGTGAACAATTTTCCTGAACACTGATGGCTCCAATTTAAGCACATGTCCTTTTCGATGACAATGATTTGGCGATGACAGTGCTGTGCAACAAATCGCATTGCTGCGCAGCCCTTGAGTAATACCGATGACTTGAAAGTGTTGTAATGCCACTTTGTCTCTTCAAGGGAATGCTTGGTGGAGGGATCAAGTGGACGTTCAGCGGCATTGACACTTGTGTGTTTTTTGCATTGTCGCATGCTCTTCCTTTGGGTTCACTGCTTTGGGATGATTCGACCATGTTGCAAACATTTGTTTTGAAACAACCCACCTCCATCAACCCTCGGTTCTTCGCCGAAAACACTCAGTGACGGGAGGCCTTTTTCCATCACGCGGCCTTCTCTTCGGGTGGCAAGGAACTGGTTTGTGATCTGCAGGCCCCGTTGGTTCCGTTCGCAACCCTTCGGAAGAGCGGACATATCAGGTTCATTGTTGAATGAACGTACCGTACCCTTTGATTGCTCAATTCAAACAGCACGGGGAAACCCATGTTTGTGGGAACGCAGGTCCTGCAAGGTATTACCACTCTCTCACTCTCTCCTAATGATCCTAATGCATTAGTCTCCTTAGTCAGAAGCTTGCAGATACAGGCACCTGTGCAGTTTGTGTTTTTTTGGCGCAAAGGTCAAGATGTTTGAATCGCTGACCTAGCTGAGGACAATGAACAAGGATCAATATCACGGAAATCGTGCCAATCACATCCAGGATATTTTTGAATCTGAAAGACATTGATTCGTTGTTTCACTTTGGATCTGCAATAATTGTGCATTGCACGTATAGAATATAGAATTATGCCAAGCCATCGAACCCTCTTTGATTTTCCATTGCGTACTGCTTCTGAACTTGACTCTTTCAAGGGTCAGAGCCATAGTCAAGGATGTCGCATGCAACGTCCTGGTTCCTTCTACCTCCAGTTTGGCACAGTTTGCCTCCGGATCGGGGTCCAGTCTAACCCTGGTGCAGGGCCTGGAGCAGGAAGATGGAAGCCTACTTCTTATCGACCCGCCCCTTGGCCCGCTGGGACACGTGACACGTGAAGAGGTTGTGCTTTGATTGAGGCTGGCGCTGGCATCATGTTCCAAGAAAAAGCTTCTCGTTGATGCGTTTGTTCGAACAGCATGATTTCGTGAAGTTTCACGTCTTTTCACCACCTGGCTCGAGCATTTTTCGGACGGTTGAACATCGACCCGGTCCAGGTGCATCCTCCGTGCGAATGCCAAGATGACCATGGCCCATCTGCTGAAAGGAGCTGTTCGGGAAGACCGTGGCTTTGGCGAGGCAGATGAGACAGAGTGGTGCTGAAAAGGACAGATATTCTATGCTGCAGGCGTAGGCCGCATTTTACAGTAGATTCAGTCAATGTAGATAGATGATATAACATATAGATTTGAATAAAATTTGAGAGATACCTGTTTGCAATCGTCCAGGGATTGGAAACCCTGCTGAGTTCCTGAAATACAAGCTTATGTATGTTTATTCGTACTGTTTTTCTATCATACGAAAACACTAAAACAACTGCAAATTTGAGGTAACATGATTGTTGCAGGTTGTTTTGGTGTTTATGTGTATGTGACATGTGTTTGTATTTCCCTTATGTTGGATGATTACAGGCATCATATTTTTGTTTGTATTAGCATTGTCTTCATATTTGTGCATATTCCTGAATTTGAATTGTAATTGTTCATACAATCGTTCTTCCTAATGAGAAACAGCAAGCAAACCGCAACCTGGAGGAGATCGAATGTCTCATATATAAATGACAAGTCATTTCAATCTTCCCAACTTCACCAGAACAGGTGTTGAATTTGGCATGTCTTGTTCGCGAGCCCGGAGCCACTGAGAGAGAGCAAGAGCGATAGAGTCCACCAACTTCGGGGCAAGTGGCAATGGCTTTCCATGGCCCTCATTCCATTGCTGAACAAAGCCCATGATTCATGAGGAAGGCCAATGTGACGCTTCTTTCCCAGCATTCAGACAAGCTTATATAGATTGTACCTCGATGTGTTCGGCCGACCCAACGCGCAATAGTGTTCGATCCCCTTCGGGGTGATTCCAACTCAGAACTACTCAGCTTGATCAGATTTTGCATCGATGTGTCACACGGCGACAGCAAGGTAACATATCATTGTTCAAAACAGGAATTTCTCGTAGGATCTCCTATAGGAATTCCTATGGCTACACTCCACGGTCCTTTCACCAGGCAGCGTGTTTGGGGCCAATCAGCCCAGCTGCGGAGATATTCGAGCGCCTGCATCCCAAGTGTGCGCCCATGTGCAAGGCAGGGTTTGGAGGGTGGTGCTCGCGTTTTCAGGTGTGTCGTTCAAAAAGCTTTCACCCAGCACAAACTGCACAGAATTGTCATGCATTGTTCATGCATCACTGTTATAAGTTATAAAGAGTGGGCCATATGCATCGTGCGACTGTATTGAGTTGGTTTATATATTCATTATGCAGTAGTTTTGACTTATCTTAGGTCTTCCAGTTGTGGGATGACCTACTGTTCCCATAGCTCCATAGCACAATATTTACTCACTTTTCCTGGTTGAAATCCGCCCACACTGAAGGTGCTGAGGCATGATCAGCTCGTGTCGTAGTACTGGCCCAATAGCACGCAGTATAGTGCTCAGTTAACTTATACCAGGGGGATCAATTTGGAAGGTCATTTTGATTTGCAAACCCTTCGCTGGAACGTTTCACGATCTCAATAGTAAAGCTGCACTTTCGATGGATGTGATGTGTTTCAAGCATGGAGGAAGAGACCAGTTTGACATCAGAATTCAGAATCCCAAGGTTGTTAATAATTTTCAGAGCAAGGCACCTTAGTTGGTCAGTGTTGAATTCAATTCGGTTCGCTGCATGTTTATTATCTGTTGTGTGTCATAGCTTGCAATGGATAAGGTGATTCTTCAAAGGTGGTAAGATTTGATACGTGTTTGTATTTGCCTGGACCTAGTGATGGCTAGTAAGGTCCAATGAGAAAGTTACCCCTTGCTGCAAAAGGCCGTACCTGCCTTTGAGTTTTGAAGCAGTTGTAGTGCCTAAGCTTGAGGGGTTTACAGAGAATTACAGTACTTACTTGACGTCAATAAATGAGCGCGCGTTCCAAAGACCATTTGCGTATCCTGGTTACGGTATTCCTGCCAGAGGTTTGAGATTCGACAAGAGATTGTAAATTGTTGTAAAGCTAATGCAGTTTAAGATCGATTTGAGACAAGAACCATGCTTGTAAAGCCCTGGGAACCTGTTTGTGCTAAACGAAGATCATTTGGGAAGCAGTGTTGGTGCTGTGCAACCATAAGAGCTGGGGGTTTTAGAAGAACAATCAGGGCCGCAAGTCGCAAAATCACTTTACAGGTGCCACTGACATCCGTTGACACAGAAATGTGTTTTGTGGTGTTCTTTCCACTGGCCCCATTTACAGTGTGTAGTGGTACTGAGGGAATAGCAGCCATTAGCAGCATTTTTGATCGCCAATCTTAGTGGAACAAAGAATTTGCGATCTGCAACCAAAGGTCCAAACCATGGTGACCAGTTTCTACGCCCAGGTAGTGTCTTAGATCAACCTCTCCAAGCTATTTCTGTCAGGCCTTTGATCCACATCGAAGCAGTGTGGGGGGACCCAGCAGGGGTGCTGAAGGCCAAACGCCTTGACCTACTGCCAGGCCGCCAGATTCTTTGAGTCTGACGCAGACGCCGAGCTCGTGTGTTCGTGCAAGACGACCAGTGCGGGCGTGCTCAAACCTCGGGAAACTGAGCTGTTACCATTTGCACTTGCACTATCCATGGCTCACGAGTACCGTACTTATACAGCGCAAGGATGTAAAATTGCGTGTGTTTCGTTTTTTGTGGAGTTTTATACCCTTGTGGTTCAATCAGGGTGATACCATTTTTGTTCGGTCTGCCTAGATGTCCGCGCGGAAGAAATCTTGACCGGACGTTTTAGCTCTTTGCGTGGTGGTATTCTTAGCACATCTAAAAACAATGGTGTGTCATAGGTGACTTGATTCTCTCAGAGAATTGCTCCCTCAGCTTGTCCGTGTTCCTTCTACCTTTGCATACCTTTGCATGCACTCCCCCATTTGGAAAAGCAGTGTCCCAAAAAGGCCGTTGTCCACGTTGCTTTTGCTCAGGTGAAACAAAAGCTGGGCGTTTGTGGTTTGGATGTAACCTGTGGATTAGCCAAATGAATTAGCGCTATGATAAAATCATATATATATATATTTGAATTATATTCAAGTTGAGGGGAGGTTCGTTCTGAAGGAGCCCTCGGCCGAACACCCCGATTATATTTGCGGATCCAAAATTTTTTATTTTGAATATGTATATATATATATTATAGATATAAAAATTATATATATATTATTTAATTAATTTATTTTTGAATATTGATAATTTATAAATATATATAATGATTTAATTAAGAATATATATTATATTATTTATTGTTATATTATTTTTTATTTTAATATATTTTCTATATTAGAATTTTTATATATAATTATAAAATATTTATGTTGGATATAAAAATTATTTATTTATTAAAATTATATAAATATTATATTATATATATTGATTGAAAATTAAAGATATTTTGATGGAGAATTATAAATAATGGTATTTTTTATGAAATATAGAGGTTAAGGCGTTATAGCATAATTAAAAAATATTGTTGATTTCGGAAGATTTTTGCTAGATATTTCGCCGAAGAAGCCTAATTTGGTCTTGAAATTCTTTGATTTTTTTAAATTATTGAATTGAAAAGTGTTTTTTTTTGTATAATAAAATTTATTAGATTAGATTGTAATTCCGCAAGTAATTACGAAGGCATTTATATGATATATTGCGTGTAGCGAAGGCTCGCGTAGGCTGTTGGATTTCACCCAGGCGAAGTCTAACTCGCGAAGGCAAATTTAGAGTTTATGAAAGGTTGAATGTGGTGTGTCGGAACCCCGAAAGTATTTCGCGAAACCTTTGGTGTTGCGCGAAGTCTCGCGAAGCCACCCTTCCCACAAATTCTAATCATGCGAAACCTCCAGTATAGGCAACCCAGCAGTATATAAATATTTTATCATTTAAAAAAACACGGTCCAATTAAGACAATTTGCCATAGGATGCTATGGTCACCATTCTTGGACGCCTCGATTTGAGGCTTCGAGGACCAGAAATTTTAGAGTCGCATACCCGAACAATGGTTCACGTGCTACGTGAATAATATCTTGATTGCCTTTTATCTATTATATTAGCACTGGACCCAATTGATTTTGAGCATGTTCACAACGTATGCAGGGGAGGTTGTATCCCCATGTCATGATATTTGCGTAGATCGTTTATTTCAAGCATGAATCACCATTCATGATTCATCTACGCAATACGTACAGGTGAATTCGCATGAGAACTCAAATGATTGAAAAAAATAAATTGATGCCAGAAGGAATTTTGATACAGAATGATTGTGATTCCCACATAAAAGATAGCTTAGAAGACAACGGATCCCTTTTTTCTCCCATTGTATTTCGTGAAGCAGGCCATTCGTATGTGGCACTCGCAGGACCCATTCTTGAATGGATTTAGATCCGCCAGCCAGTGGGTTTGCTTGCAGCTCGAACGATACCCTCACTTGCACCGTCGGTATGCCCACGAAGTGACATGGGCACGCAATTGTGTTTCTCTACCAGCGTTCGATGGCCGCAATCATTGCTCGGTGACCTAGACAGAACTCCACAAATTAGCCGGAGTCATGCACATCGGACGCGCCCCAGCGGAAGACCACTACCAGACTGTTCTGTTCAACTCCGGTGCCGGCCTTTTGCGTGATGACAACCGCAAGCCGACACGACTTGTCAGAGACCATGCCTTTTAACAGAACATCTACCTGTTGTGGCTTGCACCCATGGAAGCAATTTGAATTGAGTTTCGTCGACCACTCCCGACCACAACGGTCCAGCTCGGTGCTCTGATTTCAGAACACCTGACCTAAGCGCATTTGCATCCAGATGGGCCCTTGATCCTCACGAAGGATCCACGAGCATTCGTGCGGCCCAACACGGACAGACCGACTCGTTTGTTGGCAATTGAATGAATGAATGTATTGGTATATGATGAAGGAAATATATCATTTAAAGAATATTGTTGAATTAATATTTTATTGGACGGATTGATATATTTAAAAATAAAGTATGTATTTTTGAAATTATATGAAATTCTTGTTGATCTATTTAAAAAAATATAATTAAAATTTGATATATAT